GAGAGAGAGAGAGAGAGGTGGAGGTGAAAAAGAAGTAGTAGACACAAACAAGATTCAAAAAGTGCATTTTGACCGTTGGAAATTTTAGTAACCAGGGCTGGGCGTCATTTGCCGAGCCAGGCCGGTCCTTTAGCTCCCCCGGACAATGTTCGAAAACAGTCTCTGACATTAGCTCCATTGAGTCTATGAATCCAGCGATCAAGTGCAATACATGGCAACAACAGGCGATGCAAAAATGTTGGTGGTGGTGACAAGTGTGTGTGTGATTGCCAAAGTGTGTATGTTGTTTTTGTTTCCTCCAGATCAAGAGGAGGAGGAGGAATCAGACATCGGTTGTGCCAACTGTGCCAACTGCTGCTGCATCGATTGAGGTAGCTGTAAATAGAAGATGTAAAAGATGTTGGTAAATGTACGGAAGAAGTAGATGACAAGAGGTTTTAGCGGTCAGAGAGAAATAGAAAGAGAGAGGATGTGATTTGATTGGAATGAAAAGAGAGATAATAATAAACAGAGTACAGGCGAAGCCCACACTACGTGCAAGCTCGCAACTACGTGCACAGGCAGCGCCACCATTGTCAAAAGTGAGCTTTTTTGCGGCACACTCGAGAAAAACTGCTGTTTTGGCCAAAAGCCGCTGCACAAATTTTGCACGTAGTGTGGGCTTCGCCTGTACAGGTGTAAGCTCAAAGCAGTTGGGATGATAAGAGAGTGTGATGCGGATTAGGACTTTACATTGCATTACATTACACTACCGTCTAAAAGTGGGGCAATTAAAAACCAGACTGAGTGTATGTGTTCTAAGAAAAAAATACTCTCAGGTGACCTACTATCATCAGCATTCTTTTTTGTTGTCTGCCGTAGATATGTCAAAAAAATTTCTAATTTGGGTAAGCAGTGCGAGCATTTTTGGTGCCTCTCATTTGCGTCTTAACAGATTGAACAGACACAGCCTGTAGTGTGTGTGTGTGCCAGACTGTGTTGACCTTCAAATGTGACCGCCATCACCACCATCACCCTAATCACCACCATCGTCTGGTCTGGTCCTGTCTGGACAGAGTTGTTCGATGTCCCTCTTCTTATTACCACCAGGCGAGACGTCGTCTGCATTGGTTCGCTTGCCACGAGTACACTGCTTGTCACGTAATGCTCTTTCTCATAGCACTACCATTCATCTCTTCCCCTTTCATCCCCACTGCACCAGAGAAAAACCGTTGGAAAACGAAGAAGACGATGTTCGACGATCAATTTCGAATTCGTCCTCGTCGTCGGCGGCGGCGGCCATTTAAATTTTTCTCCAGCCAATCTCCTTCCCTTTTAGCTTGAGTTTGAACTGAGCCCGCTCAGGTGCTCGCTGATTGGCGCGTTTAAAAGCGACTGCACGTCGCTGATTGGCTGACTAAAAAGAGAGAGAGAGAGGGAGCGGGAGCGAGATCGTTGGAAAAAGAGTCGCCGTCTCAGTCTCAGTCGTCGTCGTCGAAGAGAGAAAAATGAGCGAGTGACGTAGTGTGAAGTGCAGTGGAGGCGATGCTCAGTGGTAGCGAAGATGCAGAGAGACGACATCGAAGACAACAAAATTAGTCACTTTGCCTGTAGTGTCAGTTTGGTACTGCTGCTGCTGCTGCTGATAACTGCTGATAAGATGGTGGTGATGGTTATGGTTATGATGGTGATACCGATGTGTCAAAGGTTAGAGATTCAGGTGACAGTCCAGGTCGAAAGAGCTTGCCATTGAAAGCTTTGAGGTTGATTGCAAAAAATCTAGAAGCATTTGAGACACACTAAAATCCACAGTTTCAATCAGTTGACGATAAAAAGGTTTTAATTAAAGATCATCAGAACTTGAGTGAACTTTGATCAGTTTGAGTATTCTCAGAATGTTTTTAATTTTTAGGACTTTGTGAAAAAGTAGTAGTGGATTCTAGTGTTTGTCCGTCTGTTTCTGATGATGATGCTGATTAAAATAACAATTGTGTCTCAAAAGAAAAAAAGAAAGGACCAGTATCTGCTCAAATCGAAAAACCAAAAAAACATTTTCGATTTTTTGGACAAACTGTTGCACAGATTTCAGCGCTGCTGCCACCTGTTGTCCCCCAATCGCACCATACCCTTTTCAGCCACTGTTGAACAGTTGTCCCCTTTCGGGTGGCTGTCCTCTTTCTTCTTCAGCAGCAGCTGTTGGAGTTGTTTGATCAAAGAGGAAAATAGGCACGTGCCGCTTTTAGTGCAGGATTGTCCTGGCATTGCATCACCACCACCACCGCCACTCCCATCATCATCACCATCATCACCCTCAAAAGCGTCATCACCCTTCGAGGATCATCCTTAGCCTTCGAAGATTGATCCCTCTTTTGATCCCTTTGTGCATCGTTGTTGTTGTTGTCGTCGTCCACGTTGACACTCTTGGTCTTGCATTTCGAATTATCATCATCATCAGCAACAGCTCAAGAAGAAGAAGAAGAAGATGGTGATGATCCCCGCAAACGACGACTTCCAGGCGGTGATCTTCGCCGGCGGCAAGGGCAGCCGAATGAGCCAGCTGCTGGGCGGTCGGCCCAAATGTCTGCTCCCCATCGCCAACAAGCCGATGATCGCCTACCCGCTGGAGCTGCTGGTCAGGTCGGAGATAAAGGGTAAGAGTGATGTGAGGAGTTTTGGTGATCATCTTTTCCCGAACCCAAAATCTAATCCTTAAATTCTCCATTTAGAAACCTTCATCATCGTCCTCGACAACGAGGAGGAGGCAATTCGAAATGCCGTCAACAAGCTCGGCCTGGTGGGCGAAAAGTTGACAGTAACCTACGTCCCACTGTCCCACAACAGCGACTGTGCCACGGCGGAGGCGCTGCGGACGCTGGGCGACAAGATTGAGGTACTTTTTATGATTTTTGTTTAAATCCCTTTCTAATCCTCTCATTTTTCTTCGATTTCAGAAAAACATCCTCATCCTCTCCTGCGACACGGTGACCGACCTCACCTCGCTGGCCGCCTTCATCCGCCTCTTCCGCCTGGAGATGCCCACCTTCTGCTGCATCCTCTCCCGTTTTCCCTCCGAGAAGGAGAACCAGGTTCCGGCGAAGAAGCTGCACGACACCAAGGGTAAAAGCAAAAAACAAAAATTTTAGAACCCAAACTAAACCTTTTGTTTACATCCATTTCAGAGTACGACATCATCGGCCTCGACGCCAAAAATCCCCACCGGCTGGTCTTCTTCGAGCCGGACAGCGAATTTGGCGGCAGCGACTCGGCGGTGCCGCTGAAGAAGGGCAGCCTCCTTCGGCAGTGTCCGCACTTTACGCTTACCACGAAGCTTCAGGACGGGCACATCTACCTCCTCGACCGCTCCATCCTCAAGTACCTCTGCGCTAGAGAGTGAGCACATTTTTTGAAGTTTTAGAAACTCCAAAACTAACCACTGTTTTCTCCTCACCACCAGAAACATCAAATCGCTGAAAGCCGATCTGGTGCCCTCCATCGTGCGCAAGCAGTTTCGCCGGCAGAAACACTGGCCCAGCAAGAAGACCGGCGCCCACCCAACAACGGTCAACCTCGGAGACGGCCTGGAGGACTCGGTGGTCGTCGAGGATCATCAGGCGATCAATCAGTCTCCTTCGGATCAAGGATTCAATCCAGCGGTGGCCACCACCACCTCCGGCCACGTGAAGCACTTTGCCGAGTACCTCGAGAAGCGGCCCATGTACGCGCTGATCGACCAGTTGGACGCCGGGGACCTCGACTCTGTAGAACCTCCAGCTCAAGTGTACCCAAACAGCGCCGTCAAGTGCTGCGCCCTGACGGTCGGGCCCGAGGATTCTCTTGAATCCTCCTCCTCTTCAGACTGCAAGGCCAGCTACCTGTTGCGCGCCAACAACTGGGTCCGCTACTGCGAGGCGAATCGCCTGGTGCTGGCCAGGCAGAAGACCCAGCTAGGGCAGCACTTGAAGCCGGTGAAGAGCGACTCGATTCGCTCCTTCGTGGACGCCTCCAGCCTGGTGGGCGCGGGCGCGACCGTCGGCGAACGGTGCTCCATCAAGCGGACGGTGGTGGGCGCCAGCTGCCGCGTGGGCGACCGCGTCCGCCTGACCAACTGCATCCTCCAGGAGGGCGTCACCGTGGAGGAGGGGGCGGTGCTGCAGGGCGCCCTCCTCTGCGCCGGCGCCTCGGTGGGCGTCAATGCGGAGATTCGCGACTGCATCGTCGGGCACGGGCAGGCGGTGCACGGCCTGGCGAAGCACACCAACGAGTCGCTCACCGAGGTGATGCTCGATCTGTAGGAGGGGGAGGGAGTTTTATGGTAATTTAATTGTTTTAGAGTGGTGATGGAGATGAGGCAGCGGCAGCAGTAGTAGTGGTGGGCAGATGCTGCTGCTAATGACAAAACGTTGTCATGTTTTTATTTTTTAATTCTTTCCTTCAATCTGGCATTTCCCTTGTTGGATTTGTGTGTACAAATTATTAATTTTTTTTATTGTCAATCAAATAATACTAATAAAAGTTTGGTTTCTTTTAATTTTTTAAAAAAGAGCAATTTTGTTTGTTCCACTTGAATGAGTTTTATCAATAGGATTTTACCTTTAGTTGCCAATACTGACAATCTTTTTAGGCAGAAAGAACTGTTGTAAATTGAGTTGCTCTTAGTAATTATTATGGTTATAACCAGTGTGATAAAGTATTTTGTAAGTTAATAATTTTTTTGTTTTACAAAAAGTTGTTCTGTTTTGCTGACATTTTAAAATATCCGTTTACTTTTTTTGCCAAACAATGGAAGACTGTTTTTTATTAAAAACTTTTTAAAAAGTTAAACTTTGATGATTTTATTTTAAATCTGTGTTTTAAAAACGTGTTAGTAGTTATGGACTATTACTCAATTATTATTTGCGAATTTGATGATTTTAAAACCATTTTAAAAATTCTTTTTTTCTGGCAAACTAAAAAATGATATCATTTGGAAAGTGATGCACGACTGGATAAGTGTAGACACATTTAACCGACTGACACATTTTAAACAATTTTTCAACGAGTGTTTTCAGTTGGACTACCAATCACGACAGTTTGTTAAAAATGAAGTATTTTCAAGTGAAATATTCAGATTGCTTCCAATCAAATTTCAAACAGAATTGGAAGAATTTGCTGAAAAGGTGTTGCAGCCTCCGTATACAAAAATTTCTGAATCAGCTAGTGTGGTTGAACATACTTTCCGGTTGCCTGAAAAAGACAAACCACCTCAACAGCTACCTGTTGCTGAGTCGATTTCATTACCAAAAATTTTTGCTCATTTTGTTACAGAAAACGCAAAACAGTTACTTCTTTGCATTGACGGTTATGGATCAGTTGAATCCTACGACCCCCAGCACAAAAGTTGGCACTCATCACCAGTATCATTTCTACTGCCAAATAAGCAATATAATTTTGAACTAGCACTACTTGGCAGTATGCTGTACGCATTTGGTGGTGAGGGTAGTAACAGTAACCCTACCAATCAGATGTGGAGTTGTGACCTGAGTGATCTCTCGTCTCAGTGGACAGCAAGGGCAAACATGAAACAAAGCAGAAGGGGGTTTTGCAGTGTTGTCCTCAATGACACCATCTGCGCTTTAGGTGGCAGGGACACTAACAATGATTATCTCTTTAGTTGTAAACGCTACTGCAGTCAACTGAATGAGTGGTCAACAGTGGCAGACATGAACTGTGACCGTTCTGGTGCCTCAGCAGCAGTCATCAATGGATGCATCTATGTTGCTGGAGGAAGGGATAAAGGAATAATTGTAAAGTCAGTCTGTAAGTACTTGAGACTGAGACTGGCACCTGGAGTGAGGTGGCACCGATGTCCACTGAACGCTACTACTTTGCCCTGACCCCCTTTGCCGGTCGTCTTTGGGCCATAGAGGGTTGGGATAGTAGCTATCATCCATTGAGCAGTTGTGAGTCCTACGACCCAGTGACTGACACCTGGCGAGAGGAGGCACCGATGAAGGGGAAGAGATGTCAACATGCAGCAATTGAATTCAATGGGCAACTGTATGTCGTCGGTGGGTGGAGATGGAATGGTGAGACAAAGTTAATGAAAAAGTCCTTTTTAACAAACATGCATTTGATAAAACTGATTTATATTTTGTGTTAGATTCAACTGTCGTCGAGAAATACGTTCACCCTAAAGCATGGGTGGAGGACAGTCAACTTCAACAAATGTGCAAATGTTCTCGACTGCTAATCATACCACCTGCGTTCTCGTCCTACTTCACAACCGACCCAAAAAAGAAGTCTATTAATAAAACTCTTAACTGAAAATGCAAATGTTCAATGTTTGTGTATGTAATTTTATTTGTCGTACAAATGATAAAAAGAAAATCAATGGGGAATGAAAAAGGAGTGGGAGAGGAAAAAGGGAGGCAAATAGTAGGTAACAACAACAACATAATAATCATAAAAAATATACACTGAAAAGAGTAGGGAGGAAAAATGGAAATTGCATGAAATTAAGTTATGCGATTCGGAATAGATTAGCAGATTAGAAAGTGGAAGAGAAGAGAAGTGAATAGATAGGTGAAAGGTAGATAAAAAAAAGAAAAAGGAAACATTGGGATTATATAAAGAGGAGAAAATTAAGACGATGAAGCCGTAAATAATAATCAGTGATGCGGCGGCGGCTGATGCTGAAAACTGTTGGCCATGTTCTGCTGTTGAAGAAGATGGTTAGGAGGCGGTGGAAAATGAGGGTGAGGAGGGTGCTGGAAAGGATGTGAAAGTTGAGAGGGATGAGAAGGGGGTGGATGACCTTCCTGCAGGAAATTAGGAGGTGGTGGTAGGAGTGGCTGTTGTGGGGGTGGCAGTCCATCCACCGAAGAGGGCGGATAAGGCGGTCGAGGAGGAACTGCTCCCTGTACTGTCCGACAAACTGATTCACAGCAGCAGTAGTTGCTGAGGCGGAATCATTGGAGGGAATCCTCGAGGAAAAACGATCACCGCTGTTGAGGTGATTTTGATTGGCAAAGGACTGCTGCTGTTGTTGCCGATCCAAAACGAGCGGGTCCTGGACGCCTCCAAACTTTTGGTGATATCTTCGTGGTTACTGGTCCAAAATTACTAATCTAAAACTGTTAATAAAGATGAAGAGTTGCTTTTACAGATAGCATTTTTAATTTTTAGAAATAGTTTTATTTTTATGCTTAAAACAACGATTGAAATTTAGTGACACTTTAGATGGCCCACCCTGTATAATTTTACCATTGGTTGCCATTGCCGACAATCTTAGGCAGTAAGTATTGTTGTAATCTGTTAGAAATCAATTTTTAATTAATTAAAAGTTAAGTTGCTCATAGTATCAGTGTGATAAAAGGTAGTTTAAGAGTTGATGGTTTTTTGTTACCCCACAAAAACATTTTGTTTTCGAAACAGTTTTAAAATGTCCGTTTACCTAGTTTTTTTCTGAACAATGGAAAACTATTATATTAGAAACTTTGAAAAAGTAAGTTTAAATCTGATAATTTTTTTAAATAAATGTGTGTGTAAAAATTGTTGTAGTATAAGGTCGCCCACGTGAACTTCAATCATGCGACAACGCAGCTAGTGCGAGAGTAAAACTTTTGCAAACCCTTGAATGTTATATACCATTTTAAAGTTTGAGCCTTCTTCTTTAAGGATATGTAGTCAGTTTTGTGAAAGGTTTAACTTTTTTAAGAAAAAAGTCAACTTAAAAAATTTTTGTCAAAATCAGAAATACTTTGCGACATTGTACTCTGTCTGAAAAACGGTTGAAAGTTTTTAAGTTTTAAGAACATCATCATGTTCTTAAAGAGTTTGTCTCTTAAACTGTTAAAAAACTTAAATTTTTTTAAATCCATTTAAAACTGTTTGGAATTTTTAAAGTTAAACCCAAGTTGGGAACGCGAGCCAGCTTTTCAGCTGTTTTTTGTTTTTGTCACTGTTTACCTGAATGGCCCCCTGTTTTTAGCAAGTGATTGTTTTTTGAAGCAATAAGTTTTGCTTTACAAAGTCACAATTCAATCAAATAAAAAGCATTTGTTTTAAACATTTATGAAAAATTTACTTAAACTTGCGCTACATATCGGCCCCTTGACGCCTTAACTTCCTTCATTCATTTTTAAAATCAGTCGTTGTTTTGATGCTTTGCGTGTTGTTGGTTTTCAGAAACGCAAAAAAAATAAACAAGTAAAAAATTTTTTGGCAGTAGGGCCATTCAGGTAAACAGTGACAAAAACAAAAAACAGCTGGAAAGCTGGCACACGCTGGCTCGCGTTCCCAATTTGGGTTTAACTTTAAAAATTCCAAACAGTTTCAAATTGGTTTTAAAAAATTTAAGTTTTTTAACAGTTTAAGAGACAAACTCTTTAAGAACATGATGATGTTCTTAAAACTTAAAAACTTTCAACCGTTTTTCAGACAGAGTACAATGTCGCAAAGTATTTCTGATTTTGACAAAAATTTTTAAAGTTGACTTTTTTCTTAAAAAAGTTAAACCTTTCACAAAACTGACTACATATCCTTTAAGAAGAAGGCTCAAGCTTTAAAATGGTATATAACATTCAAGGGTTTGCAAAAGTTTTACTCTCGCACTAGCTGCGTTGTCGCATGATTGAAATTCACATGGGCGACCTTATAGTTATGGAATATAGATTCAACTATTATTCAAGAAATTGATGATTTTGAGACCATTTTAAAAATTCTTTCTTCTGGCAAACTGAAAAATGATATCATTTGGAAAGTGATGCACGACTGGATAAATGTAGACGCATTTAATCGATTAACACACTTTAAGCAACTTTTCAAAAAGTGTTTTCAATTTGACCACTTGTCATTACAGTTTGTTGAAAACGAAGTATTTTCAAATGAAATATTCAGATTGCTTCCACTTAAATTTCAAACAGAATTAAAAAAAATTGCTGAAGAAGTGTTGCAATCACCTTTTACAAAATTTTCTAAATCAGATACCGTGACTAGACATACCCTCCAGTCTCCTGAAAAAGAAGATGAATCGCCACAACAAATTCTTGTCAATGAGTCAATTTTGTTTACAAAAACTGATGCTCATTTTGTTACAAAAAACGAAAAACAGTTACTTGTTTCCATTGACAGAATCAATGGTTCAGTTCAATTCTACGATCCACAACACAAAAGTTGGCACTCATCACCAGTACGATTACAACTGCCGAGTGAACCATATTGTTGGTATATACTAGCACTGTTTGGCAGTGTGCTGTACGCATTTGGTGGTACCAATCAGATGTGGAGTCGTGACCTGAGTGATCCCTCGTCT